TTTGTTTTGCTCACCACAGTGCCCCCAGGACGTAGTGCCATGCCTGTCATACAACAAGCCCCCAAGATATATTTTGAGTACAAACGGATTTGAGAGGAACATTGCCTTCTTCCCGGAGACATGTTACATCAGAAAAGAATGTGCCACGAGGGAACTTGAGACGCAGCCCTGGCCCTTGAGAGGAGGACCCAAGCCGGTACTAGAGTCCCTAGTGATGCTCTGGGGGCGCCCTCCTCCCTCAGCGGACACAGAAATACCTGTATCTCCTGGATGCTCTCCTCCTCTCTGGTGTCCACCTTCTTCTCAACCCCCTCGCCTCGGAGCAAGGCTTCTAGCGTGGTGCTCTCTGAGGTGAACCCGTCCTTCTTCAGGGGCAGCTCCACCTCTGAAACACGAGAACAGAAAAGCAGGGTCAGGCCACTAGAAGCAGGAGGGACAGGAGGGGCAGGAGATGGCCCTTGAGGGCGTGCAGGAACCAGAGCTCCTGGCTAAGGCTCGAGGCCGCCTGTGCTCTCTCCTTCAAGTGGAGCAGGACACTGCAGTTGGGTCCAGCTTTTCTGGGTCCAGCTCACAGTCCTTGAGGTCGATTCCAACCCTGCCTGCACCCTCAGAGACGGCAGAGGTAGAGCAGAAAGGGCGCCGGTTGGATGTGGGATCAGACAGCCTGGGTCTCAGTCCAGCTTCTGCCACTCTCCAGCCCTGGGACTTTGGGCAAAGCACTCAAGGACCCAGAGACCTTTCCTGAATCTACAAAGTGAGGACAGCAGTGCCAAGCACCCCACCTGGCCATTTTGTGCTCCTTTGCATTTAAGTTCTTTGAAAACTCTAATGCGGTGCATCAATGCCAGCCTCACGTCTTATTATTCTCTCCCTCCATCCCACCTCTCGTTAGGCAACTCGGTGACCTCCCCTCAGCCACGCTGGCTGCCAGCTCAGGTCTGCTCCATGAAAAGCTATTTCAACCTCAGAGGCTGTTCTTAACAACTCACCAGGGAAGCGAAGGCCTGCAAAGCCAAGGGAAGAGAAAGAGCAAGCACAGATGCCTAACAGGCCCAGATCCGCAGCTCTGCACACCAGGGCGTTTTTTCTGAAGACATCAGGAGTTTGATCAGCTACCTGGGGCTGGAGGTCAGGGGGCCAGCTGAGCAGTGGCAGCCAGAGCCGGCCCTGCCCACGAAAGAGACCAGAAAGAGCTGAATCCCTTCCTCAGTATGTCCCCCAAACTGCTAACTCAAAGGAAGGTTTGTTTTTTTTGTTGTTTCATTAAAAACGGAAACCTCAGGTACAAATGACCATATTTGGACTTAATACAAAATATTCCTCCAACCTCTCCTCCGATCCTGTACCTCATGCCCACCCTGACAATCAGATGTGAGGTCCCTACTATGTATCAGATAAAATGGGTGCAAGAATATGAGGGAATGGTGCCCTAGAAAACAGGCAGAGGAAATGTATGGGGGGTTGGGAGATTAGTGTAGGGACTCTTCACAGAGGTGTGGGCAGAAGAAGGGAACAAAAGGGAACGGTGAAACAGCCCAGGAGAGTTAACAGTGGGGAGTCATTATCACTGCTATTCCTGGAGGGACAGAGGGGAGTGTTTGTAAGAACCTGGAGGGGGCGCCACAGCAGAGCTCCCGGGCAGGAGCTGTGCTTGCAGCAGAGGAGCCTCCCTCTCTGCTGAGCCCGCAGGTCAGAGGTTCACAGCACGGAGGCATGGGGACACACAGCCCAGCCTCTCTCTCCTTCCGTCCTCATCTTCCTGCCCTGCCCTCCCACCGGCCAGCCTCCACCAGATGCCAGAGACCAAGGATCCGTGTTGATGCAGTCCACGGAGGTCAACTTCCTGGAGCCCAGGATGGTGTAAAAAGGGACAGAGAGTGGATCTGGGGGAGCAAATGGAAATAACCAGCAAGATCAAGCCCTGCTTCCCTGGGCTCTGTTCTGACTCAAATGGATCTCTACCTACCCCTTCTACTCCTCCACCAAAACCAGATGCAGGCTGACCAGTCCACAGGGAAGGGGCACTAAGCAACCCATCGAAGAGAAAGAAATACCTATCCATGGTGACCAGCCCCAGAAGAAAGCGGGAAGAAGGAACAGTATCTAACGTCCCTTGCGAGACAAGGTCTCTGGGGTTTCTCTTACCAATAAAGGCAAGCAGAGGATCCAACTCCATCAAGAAGCAATGCCACCCAATCAACCACCTCTGAAACTCACCCATCCATCTAGTCATGCAACAAATATTTACCAGGCACTGCCATGTGACCACTGCTGTGCTGGAACTAGGTACACAGGAGGGGAGCCAAACAAAGACAGTCCTGGCCTTTAGGTAGTTTACAATCTAAAGAGGTAGACACTAAACACTAAATCCAAAATAAACATGCAATTACAAACTGTAATAAGGGCTTTAAAGGAACCCCACAGAGTGAAATGTGAAGGAAGAATAGGTGGGGGTCTGCTTAGATCACAGGATCAGGGAAGGCCTGTGTGAAGTTACACTGAAATGGAGTGTCAGAAGAAGTCAACTGTCTGCTTTAATGAGTTCAGAGTGTACAACTTCAGAGCCTGCTCCAATGACATATTATTCTTCCTCCCAAGTCAGAAAAGGCTTCCAAAGCCAGGTCTAAAACAATTAAAGTGTGCCGCCTCATGTCCTATCCAAGGTCAAAAGAGAACAGCTGCTCACCATCCCTCAAACTTACAATAATCATTCATATCTACATATTTGAAGTTCATATTTTAGTATCCCCTTAGTCTTCTCAACACTAAATAAACCCTACTTCCAGAACTGTACATTTTGAGCTGAAAAAAAAAACCTTACAGATCATCTGTTTTAATCCTCTCATTTTATAAATGAGTCACTTGAGAGGCTCAGAGAAGTAACTTCATCTAAAGTAACACAGTAGGCCCAACTGCCGTGGCTCAGTAGTTGAGTGTCAACCTATGAACCAGGAAGTCACAGTTCAATCCCCGGTCAGGGCACATGCCCCAGGTTGCATGTTTGATCCCCAGTGGGGGTTGTGCAGGAGGCAACCAACCAATGATTCTCATCATTGATGTTTCTATCTCTCACCCTCTCCCATCCTGTCTGAAATCAATAAAAATATTTTTTAAATAATAAAATAAAGTAATACAGTAGGGCAAGAATGCAACCAAATATTTTCTAGAGGCCATTAAGATCATGACAAAAGCTCCACTTAATGCATCCTTATTAGTAGTTTGCAGGCCCAGGCTGAGCCCTAATGACCTTAGTGGGTGTTGATATCTGTGTATATATGCAGGGTGCTTGGCACACAGTAAACATTCAAAACACGGTAGCTGTCATTGCTACTTAATCCCCACCACCACCCAAGAGGAAAGTACAGTGATCCCATTTTATAGATGCAGACACTGCAGCTGAGGGAGGTGTAGAACTTGCTTCATATCACACAGCTGCTAAGGGATAAAGTCGGCCTTAACCCCAATCTGCCTCCAGAACCCATTCACCTAATCTAATTGTACAGACTGCCTTGCCTCGCTTGAAAAGTCTTTCTCCAAAACTTTGCACATTTCCACTGCATTCCTAGGCTCTCTCCATAGTTTTCCTACTTTGAGATAAAAGGCAGATCTCTGCTGAGGTGGAGGGCAGGTTTGTGTCATGGCTCTGGGCTGTTCTAGCTGAACATCCCCATGTGGTGTTCACTCTGTCACCACAGTACTGACCTCATATAGAATTTCTCATCAACTGAACTTCCTCCTCCTCCTTCTCCTTCTTACTCCCATGCTAAGTATTCCTCCATCCTGCTTTCCTATAATTCAATCTATTCCCTTGGTCTTCTAGTCCTTTACCAGATGGGCACAGCAGAAGAATCAAGAGGGGAAAGAAAACGAAAATGGCAACAATGAAATGAGCTAGAAGGAACCTCCAATAGCATCTGAAGTCCAACCCCTTAATGAGGAAAGTGGACACAGAGAGACTAAGGAGACTTTCCCAGGGTCACAGAGAAATACAGTGGCATCATTCTTGCCTGACTGTCAAGATATTTCATTGGCTCCTAGAAGTTCTGCTTTCAGACAGCCCTGGAGTCAAACCCTAGCCTTGCCATATATTGGCTAGTTACGTAAACCTTAGAGTTTCCATTTCCTTTTGTGTTAAGTGGTTATGGTCATACTACTTCACAGTGTTGGTGTGAGAATTAACAAGTTAATACACCACATATAGAAACTGAAAAGATTCACTCACAAAACTAGTGTGAGAAACAGAGTGGAAACTGAGACGTATCAATTCTTGTGCTGGTTTTTCGATTCAAAATTTAAGATTCAAAATTAGATCATATATGTAAAGAGCCTGGGATGTTCTAAGTGCCCTCTAAATGCAACATATTATTATTACAAAAGTTTGAATAATAATGATTTTAATGGTACAGCAGCACTATCCAATAGAAACATAAGGCAAGCCACTTACATCATTTAAACTTTCTAGTAGCCACATTTTAAAAAGTAAAGAGTGGAGATTTGAAGATGGCGGCATAGGTAAACGTCTGTACTCGCTGCCTCCCACAACCACATCAAAATTACAACTAAAATACAGAACAACCATCATCCAGAACCACTGGAAAGCTGGCTGAATGGAAGTCCTACAACTAAAGTAAAGAAGAAAGCACACTGACACTGGTAGGAAGTGCGGAGGCACGAAACAGGCTGGTGGGCTATTCCGGCCCCCACATGTGCCACTTTTTTAATCAGAAGGGAGATCATCTCTGTGGAGGCGGCTTGGAGGACCAAGTGATCCCAGCCCCACACCAGACCCCCAGCCCAGGGTCCCAGAGCTGGGAAAAGAAGTCCCTACAAGCAGTAAGAATTACAGGATGTAAAAACCAGTGCAGATTGGAGCTCAGTGACACAGAGGCTGCTGGAGACCCATCTGTTCCTCTTAAAAGGCTGGCACCACAAAATAAATTTACAAGGTCCCGCTTCCTCTGAGCTCCAGCACCAGGGCGAGGCTCCGGAGAGCAGAAATATATATGAGGAGGAACTGGATTGTCTGGCATTGGGGCAGGAATTCAGGGCAGCTTTTTCCCAGATGGAGGTGCTCACAAGGGTCATTGTTCCTATGCTAGAACCTCCCTGGAAGCAGGACTGACTGGCAGCCATTTCTGTTTGCTCCACCCTAGTGATTTCCTAAGACCCGCCTCATCCAATTTACAACCCCACCCAAGCTGGATGCAGCAGCTTTTGCATATGAATGGCCTGTCCTTGCTCAGGTTAAAAGTCTCTCAAGCAAGCTGCAGCTGGGTCAGGGAGCCCCAAACATATCAGTAAAAGGCCCAAGACCCAGCACCATCATCAGCCTGCCTTGTTTCATAGCTGGGCCTCATCTGGGCACTTCCAAAGAGGATACAAAGA